TGGTTCTCACTTTTCCTTCAATAGTTGAAATTTGAATGATTTTCCTTTAATCTCTTACTTCCCTAAGTTGTTTCCCTTGGAAAATATCTTGGTTCCACTGTGAGCTCTGTTACTCATTTAGAATGACAGTCTCAGCTTGTAAGGAGCCTTAGAAATCATTTATTCTCATTCTTTCTTTTTTTTTTTTTTTGGCTAGGCAATGGGGTTGAGTGACTTGCCCAGGGTCACACAGCTAGTAAGTGCTATGTGTCTGAGGTCGGATTTGAACTTGGGTCCTCCTGAATCCAGGGCCAGTGCTCTATCCACTGCGCCACCTAGCTGCCCCATCTATTCTCATTCTTACCTGAACAGGAAATACACCTGCAGCATCTCCAATAAGTTGTCACATAGCTTCCACTTGGGGAATCTCTGGTGCTGGGAAACTCACTACCTTTTTAGGTAACCTACTTTTCATTTAGACAGTTTTAATAGCAAAGAAACTTCTCCTTATTGAGATTAAGTCTGTATCTTTTCTGCTTTCATTGGTTGGTCTAGTGTATCTTTCTAATTTGTTTAATTTCTCTTTCACATAATACTTCTTCAAAAACAGTTTTCTTAACTCTCCTAATCTTCTTTAAAATTGACTAGTCATCCCTAGTTCTTTTAAGAGATATTCATATGATATAGCAATTTACTAAAATGAGCAAGTATAACACAAGGGATGAGATGAGTGAAAAGCATTTATTAAGCCTCTACTATGTGCCAAGCACTGAAACAAGTGTAAGGGATTTGAATACAAAAGTATGACAAATCCTGCCCTCAAATAGCTTACATTCTTACAGAGGATACTGGCAGTGGCCAGGGAAAAGAAAGTCTGCAAAGTCACAAAGACAGTGAACAAAACAACAGGGCCAGTCCATTAACTCACTTTCCAGAGGCAATGATAATGGTGAATAGGTGTGTAGTGTGACAGGATGGAAAATGGAAGGGGTAAAGATGATGATACATGGTTATAGGCAGTGTAGAGTGAGGGGCTTACAGGCATGGCCTCTGGTGATCCCATTTCATGTGGGGATAGAGTCCTGGACTTGGTGTCAGGAGATTTGTGTTTAAATTTTCTCTTGTATATTATTAACTGTGGGATAATAGATAAGTCACTTGACTTCTCAGCCCCTCAGCTTCTTTATCTGTAATATGGGAGTAAAATAATTTTACTTCTACCCACATAACATTGTTATAAAAAAGTATTTTGCAAACCTTAAAGCATTCTACCAATATGAGTTATTCTTATTCTTTCCTCTTCATAGCTAGAAGGAATGGATAACATATTTGCCTACAGTCAACATCCAAAGAAGATGACAGAATCATGAAATTTGAGATCTTAGAAACCATCGAGCCCAACCAATACAAAAAGGAATCCTACTATAACATTCTGGGCATGTGGTCATCCAGTCTCTGCTTGAAGACCTCCAAAGAGGAGACACCCAACACCTCTTGAGGCAACTCATTACTCTTTTATCAAAAGCTCTAACTGCTAGGAAGGTTTTTCCTGACATCCAGACTTGATCTGCTTATTTACAATTTCTATCTGTTGCTCCTATTTCTGACCCCTGGGGTAAAACAAATTTAAATCTAAGCCCTCTTCTATATAATAGCCCTTCAAATATTTAAATACTGTTATGCACTACCCCTCCCCCAAGTCTTTTTTTTCAATGTTGGGCTGAATCTAAGGAGATGGAAATGAGTAGGAATATATATAATCTTATACTAGGGTTAAAAAATCAGTTTCATGAGTACAATAAGGGACAGATATGTCTAGGAAGAAATTTATTTTATGAAATATTTGGGGATCATAGTGGTCGACAAATTTATTAAGAGTCAACAATATGATTTAGCAGCCAATGAAACTAACGCAATCTTAGGGTATATTGAGAGATGCACAATGTCCAGGACTAGGGAGGTGAAAGTCATTCTTTAATTGGTCTTGGTCTTATCATATATAAAGTATTTTGTGCAATTATAGGTGCCATATTTTAGGAAGGATGTTGATAAGCTAAAGTGTGTCCAGAGTATAGAGGGCAATGGTGAAGAGTCTCAAAGTCATTAAATGTGATGATTGGTTAAAGGAATTGGGGATATTTAGCTTGAAAAGAAAAGAATTGGGGATGGGCATGGCTGGGGAGGAGGGGAATGGTTGTCTTTAAATATTTGGAAGACTGTCACATGGAAGAGAATTAGATTTGTTCTACCAAGAGGGTACATACTAGGAGCAATAGATAGAAATTGTTTAGAGGCGGAGCTAAGCTTGTTATAAGGAAAATTTTCCTGACAATGAGAAGTGTAATGGGCTCCTTCCTGAGGAGGAAAAAGTCCTTTTTAGGACTTTGATTACTTGCCATGAGGTCTGTATAAGAAATCTTTGTCCAAAGGGCCAGATGATCATAGATCATATGATTTTGAATGGATCACAAATCAGATCACAGATTTTGAATGAGAAAGGATCACCAAAGTCAGCTAGTCTAAACCCTTTATTTTAAAGATGAGGTAACAAGACCCAAAGAAGTTAAGTGACTTGTCACATAAATCATGGCAGAGGCAAGTTTCTGATTCAGATCCCATGACTCCAGAACTAATGCTTTTGCATTATACCATCTTGTTCAAGAGAGTTTGGATAGGGAAGAGAAGAGGAATAAGCGTTTATGAAGCAACTATTATGTGCTAAATGCTTCACGATTATCTCATTTGATCCTCATAACAACCCTGGGAGGTAGACACTCTTGTTATCCCCATTTCTGGGGGAGGAAGCAAGCACAGATGAGGTAGGCGGCTTGCTGGTAGTCACACAGTTAGGATAGGCTCTGAGGCCCTGCCCAAACTCTTGAGATTCTGAGATTTGATTTTTCAGTGTCCCAGAACTTCCACTTATCTTTGTAACGCATAGGCAAGTCACTTAATCTCACCGAGTATCAGTTTCCTCATCTGTAAAATGGGAAGAATAATATTTGTACCACTTACGTCTCAGGTGTTGTGGAAGAGAGTGCTTGGTAAGCCATGGAGTGCTATAGAATTGGGAACTGTTATTATGATACATGTGCCCCATAATTTGTATATTATTTATAAAATGTTATCAGTGTAGGCATAGTCAAAGTCTGAGTCCATTGAGCCCAAGGGTTACCTAACTGCAGCATTTCATACTGATATTTTAGTTGTTATTCAGTCATTTCAGTCGTGTCTAACTCTTCGTGACCCTATCTGGGATTTTCTTGGCAGGGATACTGGAATGGTTTGCCATTTCCTTATCCAGCTTATTTTATAGATGAGGAAATGAGGCAAACAAGGTTAAGTGACTTGCCCAAGGTCACACAGCTAATGAGTGTCTGAGGCCAGATTTGAATTCAGGAAGATGAGTCTTCCTGATTCCAGGCCCAGAGCTCTGTGCACTATGGCGCCACCTAGCTGTCCATGATGAGAGGTAACAAACAGGAGGAGCTGTGTTACCCACGATACTCCTGAGTATGGCCTCAACCAGATTAAAATATAATTCACAAATATTTTTAAAATTAATAAACATATAATAAATCATAGCTAACATTGTATTTTATTTTAAAACTAAGTCAATATGTGGCTAGCAGATGGCCACTGCTTTTATTTGCATTTAACACCACTGGGCTAGATGACTTCTGAGACTTTTTCTGATTCATATAACAATTTTTGAGGTCCCACCCTTGGGAAAAAAAAATTGTCTATAGCCCTAGAGGTCTCAAAAGACATGCTGTAACTTTATATAGTCTCACCGGGGCCAACTGAGGGAAGGAAGAGAAGATCCCAGATTTGCTCCCAATCCTATTTGCCCTTCCAACTTGCTATGTGATCTTAGGGAAGTCCCTGAACTACCCCAGACCCCAGCCTCCTCATCTATAAATACATGCTTTTTGCAAGGCCATGTGGCTCATATCCCACCATGCTGAAAGGGCTCAGATTTAGGTCCCAGAGATAAAGAGTCAGCTAAGGACTATCCTAATTAAACAGAGAGGTTCATCGATAATAGTAACTGACATTTATATAGCGCTTTAAAGGTCGCGATAACAATAGTAACAGCTAGCATTTATATAATGCTTTAAAATCTACGAGGCATTTTACAAATATTATTTCATCTTATCCTCAAAACAACACTGGGAAGTAGGCACTATTTTTATGCCCATTTTAAAGACTAGGAAACCAAGGCAGGCAAAGGTTGTGACTTGCCTAGGGTCACCCAGTTATAAAGTATCTGAGGTCAGATTTGAACTCAGTTTTTACTGACTCCAGGTCCAACACTGTATCTACTATGCTACCTACTTCCCAAAACACTTTTCATATATCTATACTTAATCTTCTAAGGTCCATTCCAGATGTAAACCTATTACCATATGATGCCTTTTGATCCTCACAATGACTTTGTTAGTAAGGCACTATAAATATTATCAAAGCCATCTAATAAGCTATTATAAGATTATAAGAGACTCACCCAAAGTCACAGAGCTAGTGAATGTCAGAGGTGGCATTTGAACCAAATTTTCCAATAGAATGTAAGCCCTTTGAAGGCAGGGAATTTTTCATTTTTACATTTTTATCCCCTGCACCTATCACTGCACCTGGCACGTAGTAGGTGCTTTAAAAAATGCTTCTTGATTTATCAATTGATTAATTGATTGACTGCTCGCTTTAGTGAGTCTAGCACTCAATTAATAAATAATGTTCCTCAATGTTTTGGTCATAGCAAGCAAACAACTCATGTTTCAGAAGATAAACTTTGTCCCAGAAGATAAATTGTAGCTTGGGAAGGTGTCTCAGCTGAAGGTTTTACAAGCTGCCTGAGTTCCTCAAACACAGGCAGCTTCTGATCTTCTTATATCCAGATGGGATATGGCAACTCAATAGACCTAAGTGGAGAGTGCTTGTTTAATTTTTCTTAATATGCTCGCGCTCTCTCTCTCTCTCTCTCTCTCTCTCTCTCTCTCTCTCTCTCTCCTATTTCCCAGACATCTTTGTGTTGATTGCCTCAGTGCCAGTGGTTGCTGTTGGAAATCAAGGCAATGTTCTTGCCACCTCGCTCCGGAGTTTACGGTTCCTACAGATTTTGCGCATGCTTCGCATGGACAGAAGGGGTGGCACCTGGAAACTCTTGGGTTCTGCAATTTGTGCCCACAGCAAAGTAAGTTTGGCCAAGTCATCCATATTCCCTCTCTTCTAGCCCTGTGCCTTTTGCCTATGCCAAGAAAATATTTTCCCTTCTCCCTTTTGCCTGGGGAAGTTGTACTTATCCTTTAAAGCCCAGTTCTAAAGCCATCTCCTCCACAAACCTCCTAGTTAATGATAATAGATATTATTTTTTATTGTTATAATTTAAAATTTATATTACTTTTCTGATTAACAAGCATTTATGTCTTCCTCAATTGAACAATTAAAGAAAAGAAAAAAAATCTCTTACAAAAATATGCATAGTTGAACAAAACAAATGCCTGTCTTGTCCATGTCCAAAAATGTACGTGTCATTCTGCATCCGAGCCCATCACCTCTCTTGTCAGGAGGTGGGCAGCATTCCTCAACATCAGTCCTTTGGAACCACAATTTATCATTGCAGTAATCAGAGTTCTATAATTGTTATTATTATGATTATTAGCATCATCTAGGGGTATCAGGGAAAATTTTTGGGGGAGGTAGCATAGATCCTCAGTGGAGTTCCCATTGCCTAGAACAGTGCCCTACATATAGGAGGTGCTTAATAAATGCTTGGTGACTGATTGATTGATTGAGGATTCATGTAAAAACATGGAAAGAAATTGAAGTTTTGGGAGGTATGGATGGTTTGGGCTACGTACCAGTGAAGGAAGTGCACACATTGATGATATCATTGATCCATCAAAAACTTGTTAACATTGTTGTTGTTATTATTGCCTCCATTACTGTTATTTTTTATTACTTCCCGGTCAGTATAGCTGTGTTCTCCCTCAGACCTCCCATAGCTCTTTGTTTTGCTCTCTCTGGTACACTTATGTAATACCATGCTTTGTTAGTTATTTGTGTTTGTCTTATCCCCACTAAAATCCTTGAGAACAAGAACAGTAGCTTAACTAAACTTTCCCTATTTTTTAGGACCTAACAAAGTCCTTTGTATACAAAGGGTGCTTACTATGGATAATAAGAGCATAGATTTAGAGTTGGAAAGGACCTTTGAAGCCATTGACTGTAACTACCTCATTTTAGAGATGAGAAAGCTGAATCACAGAAAATCTTAAGTCACTTGCCCGAAGTCCCTAAATGGACTGCAGTTATTCATAGTGGTAGACTTGGCCATGCTGTATGAGGATTAGTGGGAAGAAACATATATATTTAAAGAGTAGTTTTGGAAGACATATGTATGTAGATGCAATGAGTATATGTAAGTGTTTGCCAAATGGCGGAAGGATTAAATTTGTTCACTTTGGCTCTAGGGGTAAGAACTAGTAGAGATTTAGACTTGATGCTAGGAAAAAAAAATTCTAATAATTAGAGTTTTCCAAAACTGTAATGGACTGACTTGGGAGCAAGTGGGATCCCCTTTGCAGAACATTTTAAGCAAATATTGGGTATATTGTTGAGAAGATTCTCTTTTTTTCTCTATCTCCCCTCTCCACGAGTTGGACTAGGTGTCCATAGACCCTTGCTATGGAGTTGGAAGTGCCTTAGAAGTCATCTTGCCAAAACCCCTCATTTCATTGAGGTGAAACAACTTCCCCAAGGTCATATAGACAGAACAATATTTGAACCAAATGTTTTGCACTGTGAACCTGAGTGATTCCCACTTTATATTCCTTCTTCTGGACATTAAGTCCCAATAAGATGACCATGAACTAGGGGAAAAGCAGAAAGGTCTGGGTATTCATATCCCATCAGTTCTTCCGGGGACCATATAAACTGTAAAGTTGATTTGTGAGGGAGGGAAGCAGCAGATTTTCTGGATGTGGGGAAAAGAATGTAGAAGGAATGACTATCTTATAGCTTAAGAGATGAGGGGACAAAATATAAAGTCCTTCCTTGGGCTTTTTCCTCTCATCATCTGCTTTTTTGGAGTCTATTCTTTCTTCTATCTCCACCCCTCCCCTTAACTAAAAAGAGACTGCTGGAGGTTTTGTTTCTGGACTTTACCTAAATATGAAAATAAATTTCTACTTTTAAGGCAGAAAATCAGCAACCCTGGTGAGACTCCAATTTTCCATGACATAAAAAACAAATGGCATCAGCTTTGAAGCTATTTAAGGTTTGCAAATGATGCTCACTTAACTTTTATATGATTAAATATCCCCCCAAATTTTAAAAATGTCTTGCATCTGTAGAAAGAAAAATATTAAAGGCAAGGACACAAAATTTCTTTTTCAAATGGTTAAAAGAGAAACCCAACTTTTAGAAAGCAAATTAAATCCTCCCCCCAAATGAGTTCATAACCATTGCAACTAAAAGTTTACTAGCTCTCTTTCCTCAAATTGCCTTGTCCTGTGCTTACTTGCACATGCTATAACCACCCTCGAAGAGCTTGTAAGATTCTTGAGGATAGGAACTGTTTTATTTTTGTCTGTTTGTGTAGCAGTTCCTTGCATGTAGAAGTCAATTAATAAATGTTTGCCAAATTACATTGAATTAATGTTTTTGTGATTAGTAAGGGGTCAGGTTGTAAAGGGCCTGTAGTGATGGAGAAATGAAAACATTGAACTGTGGACAGTAATTTCCCATCAGTTATTTGTGTTTTCAAAAGATGATTTTGGAGATGGGAGGGCTTGCTGAGATGTACGTCAGCTTCCACACTGCCTCTCAAGACAAACTATTGATTAGCAAATCAACCCCGTTGTATTCAAAAAGCAAACCTACTATTGAAGCTAATTTCCAACCAAAGGCATTTCTAAAAATCCCAGCTTTAACTTGTCCCATAAGGCAAAATTCTGGAGCAAATAAATCTCACCACAGGGACCCTTTCCCAATGATGGAAACACATTTTGAAAATCTAGTACTCTCGGAGAACAACAGTATATTTACAGAGCTGTTACTAATTTCGAAAGTATATGTTGTAAATGAACATAGAAACCTGTTCTGTCTGGGCCTGAGAAGAAATTGCTCACTTTAGGGGGTGTCTGATTCTTTCCTACTACTGAGTTATTAGGTGGTGCACAGAAATGGACAGTTAGAAATGAAGTCCTAGTGACCAACTGCTCATGTAGGAGCAGGCTGTAACATGGTAAGCCCTCTATTTTCCATGAAGGTGGTTGGGAAGAATGTGCACAGCTGAGTGTAGATCAAGGGATGTCATGCAGTCTTTGCTCTTCTTGAACTTATAAAGAAAGGTTTTAAAACCTTGATGTCTAGAGCCCTAAATCACATGCTCGGCTCAACTGGAGGAACTGGAGATGTTTGGTAGGGGAAGAAAACTTTAGATTGGCCATCTTCAGTACTAGAACGGGCTGTCTCTAAAAGAGTCAATAGACTTCTTTTGGCTGCTCCTGGGAATCAGAATGTAGGACTATGTGTGATAGAGAGAGGCAGATTTCAGTTATCCCTTCCACATCGGGACCTTCCCTATCATGGTTTCAATATATCCCGGGTCAGCATAAGAAATTAAACTGGAATTTTGGGAGAGTTTTGCAGAAGCCACAGACAACATGCAGACAACACAGAAAAAATTTAGAAATTCAGAAATGCATAAAATATATGTATAGTATTGTATAATATCAACATATTTTATCTTTTAATACCATAATAATTCAGACTTCTCTGGTATGAAGGGAGGGCCAAAAACTTTTACGTGGATTTTCCAGATCACAAGGGCATAGTGCCCCAACCCTGTGATGTGGAAGGGATATACATATGTGTGTGTTTAAACACATATATACACATACACACATGTGTGTATATGCATATGTGTATACACACACACACACACACACACACACATATATATATATGTGTGTGTGTGTATATATATATATATTTATATATAATGACATTCCAAGAAATTGCACAGGAAAGCAGAAAATGAGGCATCCTAAAGAGTTTTAGTATTTCTTTACATTGCCAAAAGGCATGGCTTGCTCCCTAGGGAACATAGTACAGCTTTAGCTAAAAAGAGTTTGACATTCTCAGATGAATGCTGACCCAGACAAGGGTGGAGATAGCAAGGAATTTCACTGAGATTCAGGAAAAAAAGGGCTTTTGCTATCAATAACAGGATACAGAACTGAATATAATGCATATAGAGTATGCTTTCTTGAGCAAACAAAATACACTGATTTACATTACAGAGGTGGGCTGGCCTGGCTGTTACAAAAATCCTAATTTGAAGATGTATCCTTATCTAGAAGGAAGAGGCAGGATGGTGCAGTGCATAGAGAGCCATCCTCCAAGCAGGAAAAACCTGGGTTCAAGTCTTACCTCTGACACATACAAGTTGTGTAACCATGTACACATCATTTAACCTCTCAATGCTCTATGCAATTCTCCAAGACTCTAAATTGCAGAAAAGGTGCTGACCTGCAATGGTGAAGGGGGAATTTTAAATGGTGAGTTTTCTAAACTGATGAAAACACAGGTCCAGTCTCACCCTTCCCCTCTTCCTTATATAGATTATAAATAGTGATAAGGAACTATGGGACCAGACAGCATGACACACATTGCCACAGTCAAAGTTGTGTTGGCTGCAGCACACTCCCCAGTGGGTTGTCCATTGACTCATGTCCCCATGAGGACACAGACCCTGACTATGACCATGCCAGAGCATCAGAGGAAGACAAAGGACACCAGCAACTGCCATCAAAGGATAAAAACTTTGGGTCTATAAGTTGAGCCAGACAGTTAATTCCCTGATGCTTCCTGATCTCCTATGGATTTCCCAGCCTGAATCTATGATCTGGTTCTCCTTCTTACTCACATCAGCCCTTTAGATTTCGTCTTTCCCTGATGTCATCCTAACCTAGTTTTTCTTCCCCTTGCTTAGACATCATCTCTTCTGCCTCATGCTAAGATTGTTCTTTCCTCAGCTGGAGCTTGCTTAATTACCTGTATAAATCAGTCTTGCCTTGAGTGGAGTATCACACTATGCCAGGAGATTATGATACTTCCATAAATCCTACCAAACTGGAAAATGTTTGGGTATATACTCTGAGTGCTGGTAAATATTCAACTGCTGGCTCTCTGGGAGGAAAATGTACCTAGCACACATTTTTAAGTTTAATCTGAATTATCAACATTTTGTCCATTACTTTCTTAAGTCTAGACAATCAACAAAGCAACAAACCAAGTCCTGGTTTTTTAATGTTTTACCAATTTCCAAGGTATAAATGGTCACACTGAAAATTTAAGAATTGGGCTCATGGGTTCTAGCTGACTCTAGCACACTCCTGCCTGTAACTCACTGTTAGTCAACATCCATGGACTAGATAAAAGGAGGGGCAAGGTTAGGGAAAAAGATAATGAGCTTGCTTTAGGACATGTTGGGGGCATGAGGTGGTGGTGATGGTGGAATGTCAGATCTTATGATTTAGAGGTAAAAACAATTATTTCAGAGATAATATAGTGCAACATCTACATTGTGGAGTTGGTGGGTATCTTAGAAATCAAGAACATTAAAGCTTTATGGGATTTAAGGAGTCATCTAGTCATTTTCTTACTTTAAGTACAGTGGAAAGAACACTGGATTTGGAGTCAAGGATCCTGAGATCAAATCCTGCCCCTGACCTCTGTGACTTTCTGTTGCCCAAGTCACTTTACAAGTCTAGGCCTCAGGTTCTCATCTGTAAAGCCAAAAGGTTGGAATAAATGGCTTTCAAAGTCTCTTCAAACTAGAAATTTGTGATTCTATAATCGAACACAATACTTCTCAAACTTTTTGGTCCCAGCTCCTCTTCACATTCTGAAAAACGACTGAGGAACCCAAAGAGCTTTTTCTTTTAATATGGGTTACATCTATTGATATTTACTGTATTAGAAATTAAAACTGATAAATGTTTAAAATATTTGTTAATTCATGTAAAACAACAAAAACAAACTCATTATAGGTCAACATAAGTAATATATTTTACATATATATATATATATATATATATATATATATATATATATATATATATAAATTAGATGAACGGCATTGTTTTTCACATTTTTGCAAATCTTTTTATTGTCTGGCTTAACAGAAGACACCTGGATTTTTGTATCTGTTTCTGCATTTAATCTGTTGTAATATGTTGTTTTGGTTGAAGTTTGTAAAGAAAATCTGACCTCATACAGATATGCAATGGAGGAAAACAAGGAGTATTTTAATAGGCAAATAATATTTGAGTATTATTAGGAAAGTAATTTTAACCTTGCAGACCTCCTGGAAAGATCTAGGGAGGACCCCCTAGGAATCCTCAAGCTACATTTTGAGACCCATTGCTCAAATGAAACTGAAGCCCAGACACATGTGCACTGACTTGCCTGAGGTTACATCGCAAATTAGTACTGGAGCCAGGACTACAGCTTATCCATCTGTTCTGTACTTAATTCTCGCCACCAAACAGTTGTTATTATTCACCCCCTGTTACTGGTTTCCAATAGCTTTAAAGTTTTCAAAGTGTTTTCCTCATGATACAGTGATTCTGTTAAAGGTATTTCCCATATTTCTCCACCTAATCTGTTAAAGTCTAGGACTTCCTTGCCTAGGAATCTGATTAGTCAAAAAGGATTGTGTGGCAGGTCAAACTGCCCTGAATCAACAGGCAGCTTGGATCAAGAGGGAAAGAAGTGAGGAGGGTATTTAGTGAGGATTGGCAAGCATGGGAAGGAGATTTCTAGCTCAGTATAAACATACAAATTCTTTCCAAGAATCCTAAAGGTGCAAGAATTATAAGGTACCAAAACTGGGAGGGGCCACAAAGGCCATGTAATCCAACGCGTACCTGAGCAGGGAGCCTTCTGGCCACATACCCGGGAGGCTGTCACTCAGTTTTTACTGAAAGCTCTCTAGTGAGTGCACCCCTCATACAACGGCAAGTGTACTGATTTGGCAGCCAAACCCTGCCTCAGATATTTACTTTGTATTGAGTCATTTCAGTTAAGTCCAACTCTTGGTCACCCCATTTGGGGTTTTGTTGGTGAAGATACTGGAGGGGTTTTCCATTTCCTCCTCCAGCTCTTTTGACAGATGAGGAAACTGAGGCAAGCAGAGTTAAGTGACTTGCTCAGGTTCACACAGCTAGCAAGTGTCTGAGGCCAGATTTGAACTCAGGGAGATGAGACTTCCTGAGTTTAGGCCTGGTGCTCTACCCATTGCACCATCTAGACATTTTCTAGCTATGTGCTAGTAATCTTGCTAGCCTTCTTCCCTGGGATACATCATAAACTCATCTTCGATTTCTTCATCTGTAGAATAGAGATTGAAAAGAGTGACAACCTCACAAATTAGGCATGAGGATCAGATTAGATACGCATTCAGACAGTCAACCAGCATTTATTATGTGCCAGGCACTGTGTAAGCAATGGGTATACAGAGAAGCAAAACAATATAAAAAGAAAATAGTCCCTGATCTCAAGGAGCTCACAATTGAACGGAGAAAACAATATGCACACTATGTACAAATGAGATGCACACAACATCCATTAGCGAAGTAGTCTCAGAGAAGTCGTGAACATTAAGGGGGATTGGGAAAGGCTTCTTGCGGAATGTAGGGCTTTAGCTGAGACTTGGAAAAATCAGGAGGTATGGATGAAGAAAGAGAACATTCCAGGAGTTGGGAGAGAAGTGTCATTTGCATGAGGAGCAGCAAGGAAGCGAGTGTCCTTGGACTGCAGAGTACTGGAGGGGAATGAGGAATAAGAAGACTGGAAAGGTAGGAAGGAATGAGGGTATGAAGGGCTTTAAAAATATAAAGTGTGGGGGCAGCTAGGTGGTGCAGTGAATAGAGCACTGCCCCTGGATTCAGGAGGACTTAAGTTCAAATCCAGCTTCAGACACATAACACTTACTAGCTGTGTGACCCTAGGCAAGTCACTTAACCCCATTGCCTAGTTAAAAAAATAAAATAAAATAAGATAAAATAAAATGAAAATAAATTAAATTAAAATATGAAGTGTTTCATGAATCTTAATGTGCTAAATACATGTAAGATATCATTATTCATGTAAAATGTATATGTATATGTATATGTATATACACACACAGATGCAGGTAAAAATATACTCACGTATATCAACCTTATCATATAAAAATATAAGTTTATAAATATTATCTCATGTGTATACATATGTGTATATACATACTATATCTGCACATGTACACATATGTGTATATATTATATATACTGCTTTACCTACCCTATCTCATCCAATGAGTATGTATATATACATGCAAGTGTGTATGTATGTATGTATGTGTGTATGTATGTATGTATTGCTTTGCCTGCCTTATCTCATGTGTATACACACATGTTACATGTGTATATTTATATACATATGTGTATACATATTACTTGCATATGCATGTAAATATATGTACATACACATGTATGCTTCTTTATCTTGTCTCATGTGTACATGTATGTACATGGGTGCACACATGTGTATATATGTGTTGTGTGTTTGTACGTTTGTGTACACACACACAGTTTTACCTACCTTATTTCATTGGATGTTTACAACAGACCTATGAGCTAATTATTACATGTCAGTCAGCTTGTCAACAAGCATTTATTTATTTATTTGTGTATCCATTTATCAAGCAGCTGTGATTATTAAAACAAAAAAAACCATATGTCTATATGCTATTATTATTAAAACAAAATCTTTTCATCCTTTCCACTACTAATAGGCCAACCAGGTAGTATGGCCAGTTCCTTCCTGTCATATTTTATGTTTGTGGCTCAGCCCTCTTCAGTTGGAGACAGCATCACATTTCTATGCTCAGCCTCTAGATCAGATCCTAAGGCCTGTGAAACTTATTTCTACTCCCCTGATTTAGGGATAAGTCTGGTTTGAAGCAAGGAAGACCTATCCAGTTAAAACCAGAAAGGTGCCTACTAACCCAGATCCCATGCCTTGTTGGGTCCCACTTTCCTAAGATCCATTGTTCTGCCTGAAGCCAGATCAGAGAGAGTGTGAGTTCCCCATCCTTAAAAAGAGAAATGATCAAGGAATTAATTGATAATTATGGGATTGCCAAAAATGACTAAGGAGGCAGGTTCCTAATAAGGTGGAAATATGATTATCCCTGTTTTATAAATGATGAAATTGAGGATCAGATAAGGCAAGTGAGTTGCCCAAGATCACCCAGCTGGAAGTGGTAGAGCTGGGCATTGAACCCAAGCCCTTTGGCATTTGGTTCTGCACTAGAAAGAGTGTTCTACCATGATAACTCACATGTGCATTGGGTTCTGTTTTTCAGGCCGGTCTCATTCTTTCTATTCTCCATTCTCATTCTCTGCCTAATGCAACACATTTCTTGTTTACAGAAGCCAAAAGAGATCAATTTATGCTTTTCTTCAATTGCCTCCTTTTCCAGGAACTCATCACTGCCTGGTATATTGGGTTCCTGACGTTGATCCTTTCCTCATTTCTTGTCTACCTGGTGGAGAAAGATGTGCCTGAGATTGATGCTCAAGGAATGGAGACGAAAGAAGAGTTTGAGACCTATGCTGATGCACTCTGGTGGGGCCTGGTCAGTCACAACCCCTACAGCTTCTCTGAGCTTAGCCATGGGGAAGATAAGGAAAGGAAACATGGTGGTTGAAATCAAGAGAAGATGCTATGGGAATTGGCTGCCCTTTTGTTTTCCACAATGCAGCTAAAATCAACTTACACGTGAAATGCACCATCTTTAATAGGAAAAGATGTTGCTACTGACCACTATCATCAGTAAGGCATAAGTGTTGTATTGTTTTATCCTGCTATGGGGAGGATTTTACAGCCAATTATCCATCTGAACCCCTTTATGATCAAGGACATGTGTTTGGAAGAAGTTGTTGTTTAACGGAAACCATAGTAGATCAGGAATTGAAAGATTTGGGGTCTGCATTTCCTTTAGCTATATGTCCCTTCTCTAATAACCTCCTTTTCTTCATCTGTAAAATAAGGATAACAACGCATTGCCTTCTCTACGGGGTCAATGTAAGCAAAGGGGTTTATAAACCTAAAGTACTATATAAATGTGAGCTTTTATTATAGGTATCACAGATTGGCAGGGTAATAGAATTAGAAAGCTAGGTGGTACAGTGAATGGAGTGCCAGACCCGGAGTCAGGATGACCTGAGTTCAAATCTGACCTCAGACACTTACTAGCTGTATGAGCTTGGGCAAATCACTTAGCTCTATTTGCCTCAGTTTCCTTATCTGTAAAATGAGCTGGAGAAGAAAATGGCAAAACATTCCAGTATCTTTGCCAAGGAAATCCCAAATGGGGTCACAAAGAGTCAGACATGACTGAAATGACTTAAAAGCAACAACAACAGGGCCTTAAAGATATCTAGTCCAAACCCAGCATTTTACGTATGAAGAAACACAGGCCCAGATAGAGGAAGACTCTTGCGAAAGATCATAGGAGCACAGATTTAAAACTGGAAGTGACTTCAGACTCTGTCTAGTCCAATCCTAGCATTTTGCAGATAAGGAAACAAGTCCAGGGAGACTGTGACTTTCCCAGGGTCAAACAGGCAGTAAGCATCAGAAGTTGGATTTGAACCCAGATCTTCTGCTACAAGGTTGTGAAGTCTTGTTGGGGTATATTGAGAGACCATGGAAAAGAGAGGATTGCTGAGCTGTTACTGAACTTGTAAACGGTGTGTCATGAATAATGGAGGCACAATAAAAATAGTTCTGTAACTCACATTTATATAGCCCTTTCCTCATAACATTGTGAGGTAGGTAGGTAGAGCAAGAAGAATTACTCCCAATTTATAGCCAAGGCAACTCGGGCTCAGAGAAGTTACAAACGTAGCTTTGAGGTGTCAGAGTCAGGGCTCACTACAGTTCTGGGCAAATTAAGCAACCCTCTGTTTTCCAAACTTACCAGGCCCTCCCTGTGCATTCTCACAGGTTATCCTCATGCCTAGAATGCACACCTACCTCATTTCTCCTTGTCCAAAGCCTCTTTTTTTTTTTAAATTTAAGGGTCAACTCAGGTGCCAGCTCCCCTGTGAAGCCTTCTCTAATCTCTCTCCTCACTCTAACCAACCCTTACTTGAAAATAATGTCTCTCCTCCCCTTTCCTAGAGTTCATTGTCTGGATTTTTCCTTTGCTCCTATCACCCTTTACCTTCTATTATACTTAGCCACATACATCTCTAAGCCCCAGCTTCAGACTCCTTGAAGTAAAGACTGTGTAATTTTCCATCTTTGTATCCTCTGGCCCCCCAAACAGTGACTTGTACATAGCAGGCCCTTAAATAAATTTTTGCTGAATGGGGAAGTTGACATCTTTGCTGAGCCTTTAGGATTACATAGGCAAACCTTGGGAAAATTTCATTTAAGTTGGAGGGAACACTGGGATGGAATGGGAAAATGTAGAATATTCTTGAGGCAGAGCAAGTTGACATTTTGGCTGGAGCATAGACTACAGGAAGGAGAAAAAAAAATCAGGACTTCCCTAGTGTTCTAAAAGTTCTACTCTGGCTCTCACTGGACAACAATAGGTCCCTGCCCAAGCACCACTTAATGGTTGTTTTGGGGGCTCTGCTGGCTCAAAGTGAATGTAAATAGTAATTGTTTCTCTTCTGGCCAGAAACCTTCAGAGTCTTCCCTTCCTAGTTTGATTTTTTTTTTAATTTAAAAAAGGCTATCCCTGGCTCACTTTTGTTTTGTCAAGGCAATGAAGTGAAGTGACTTGCCCAGGGTCACACAGTTAGTAAGTGTCAAGTGTCTAAGGCCAGATTTGAACTCAGGTCTAGATCCTGAATACAAGGCCAGGTACTCTATCCACTGCACCATATAGCTGCCCCACCTTGGCTCACTTCTTAATCAGCCCAAATCACTGAATGGGCATTGTCTCAGTCAAAGTAAGAACTCAGAAAGATCTTAGTTTAAAAAGGCCAAGTCTCCCACTGCATGCTGGGCCATCTCCAGTAGTCCTGATCTATATCTAGCCATTGGACCCAGATGGCTCTGGAGGAAAATGTAAGTCTGGTCACTTTGCACCGCCCTCCAACACTTAAATCCAATTCATTTACAAGTCATGGCATCACCCTCCTGATGTCATGGTTGTCTTCATGAACGAAGAACAAGGGGCAGGTAGGTGGCGCAGTAGATAGAGCACCGGCCCTGAATTCAGGAAGACCTGAGTTCAAATCTGGCCTCAGACCAAACACTTGACACTTACTAGCTTAAGTGACCCTGGCAAGTCACTTAACCTCAATTGCCTAAAAAGAGAGAGAGAGAGAGAGAGAGAGAGAGAGAGAGAGAAGAGAGAGAGAGAGAGAGAGAGAGAGAGGAGAGAGAGAGAGAGAGAGAGGAGAGAGAGAGAGAGAGAGAGAGAGAGAGGAGAGAGAGAGAGAGAGAGAGAGAGAGAGAGAGAGAGAGAGAGAGAGAGAGAGAGAAAGAGAGAAAAGAATGAAGGATAAACCACATAGCTACAACCATACACAAAAGTTTTACTGTAAGTTATTGGTTTGAGACTTGGAATGCATTCTTTCATACAAATAGTGTTATATATGGTTGCTAATTTCAAAGCAAAATCATAATAGAGGTAGAATCATAAAATATCATCAAGGGCATCTTTTCCAATCTTTATTTGAATAGAAATCTCTTCTACAATACCACTGAAAAATGGTCATGTACCTTCCATTTGAAGACTGATCCCCAACCCCCTAGTGATGGAGAGCTCACTGCTCAGCAGAGCAGTTGTTTCCATTTTTGGTACTTTAAACACTCTGTGTGCATGTGCACACACACATACCCCACTACTGACATTCATTCAAGCATGAAGATAACAGTATCTCACATCTGTATAGCATCCTAGACTTACAAAGCATTTTCCACAAGATAGAGTTATGAAACCATTTTAGACAAAACAGAGGCTTGGAGAAATTATTTTTTTTTCCCTCATGATCACACAACTAACAAGTCTTAAAACTTGAATTTGAACCCTGGCATCCTGACTTCAACTCCAACATTTGACTCGTGTTTCTCAAAGTATGGTCTAAGACCCACAGGCAGTACTCAAGACCCATTGCCGGGGTCCAAGAAGATAAACTATTTTCAAGATAATAAGCTGTTTTAATTTCTAATACTGGTAAATTTTGATACATGTGACCCATATAAACAACAGTTCTATGGGAGGGAGTCATCTATAATTTTTAAGGCATAAAGGAGTCCTGACTCCTTAAAATTTGGGAACAACTGGACTAGACCATGCTGTTCCACGTGTATACATGTACAAAAAATGTACATACACAATATATTTATTGTGTCACTCAATCTCTTGGCACCCTAGGTAATTCTGAGTTATGTTACAGATGAATTGGCATCTGCATATAGATGTGTATATTAATTGTGTATATTATATGTCTCTCTATTATATATATATATATATATCATATAAAGTATTATATTTATTATATTTGTGTATATATATTTTTCCTAGGAGTAGTGGTGGCCTAGACCTGTGATTCTCATCAGCGTAGAGGAACTATATGTATAGAAATTTTCTCCACTGTTGTAAATCAGCAACTGGTCTATAATTTATAAAATTTTAGAACTATCTACTTCACTGAGAGGTAAAGTTACTTGCCCCGAGTTACACAGACAGTGTATATCAGAGTTAGGACTGGAAGCCAGATCTTGACTCCAATACTATCCTTCTACCACCATCCTCTCTATTCATACCCCACCCCAGCTTCATACACACTCATAACGTGCAATGTGTTTATTTTTATATGTGTAGAGAGAAAAAAAAAAGAGGAAGTAGAAAGGAGATTCTCCAAGGTAAAGATTATAATCTACTTCCTTTTTATTTAATTCTGCAAAAGATCAAAGGCTGAAATGGCTTTGTTAGATTTAGGGGCATATGTCAATCTGTCCATTGTCCTAAAAAGGGAAACTTTGATCTACACACACACACACACACACACACACACACACATGTGTGTGTGTACATATACACATAAACTTTGATTATTTAACATACATATCTATATATACACACTTAGATACACACACACACACACACACACACACACACACACACACACACATATATATATATATATATATATATATATATATACATATGTTTATGTATCCATGTATGTGTGAAACAGGCCCTTATTAAATAGCTTCAATGAAATTAAACAGTATATTGTCATTTTCAAGTAAGAGTTCCGTTCTGACATTTGGTAAGTATCATGCTATGCTTTTCGTCATTTTTAGTAGAGGCAAGAAAGAAATATATGTATGTGTATGCAATACACACATACATACACACACACGTATATACACATACATACATATATATGTATGTGTGTGTGTGTGTGTATATATATATATATATATATATATATATATATATATATATATATATATATATATATATATATATATGCGCACACACATATATTTAAAACTTTCTTTTCTGATGTCTACCAGGCCATCTGTCTAATATCTATTTAAATAGGCGTAAGTGCCTAGAAAGCACTGAAAGGGTAGAGTTTGGGAGGGTTACCCTGAGCTTTCCTCCCCTGTATAGTACCATGACAAAATTGTTCTTTGTACAGATTACCCTGGCAACCATTGGTTATGGAGACAAGACCCCCAAAACCTGGGAAGGCCGTCTGATTGCAGCCACCTTTTCTCTAATTGGAGTCTCATTTTTTGCTCTTCCAGCTGTAAGTATTATTATAATTGCAAAGTCATGGTTGTAGAATACTTTATAAAGATGGTCTCATTTGATGCTCATAGTAGGTCTATAAGGTCAATAGTTTAAAGATTTATTGTACAGAGGAAACCAAGGCTTGGAGAGGTTAAGCCACCTACCCAAGGTCACACAACTAGTTAGTGGCACCTACTCTATTAAAACCCTGGTTTTAGTTGCTATATTGCCCCTCATGTTAGTGTACTAACTGACAATGTCCAAGCAGAGACACAGGATATAAAAGAGATGGCCTGGCCACGTGTAAATCAATAGTTCCCAGGACTAAAGAGGTGATAATATCCTGTCCTCTGCCCTCATCAGACCACATTTGCGGATTATATTGAATTCTGAATGCCACATCTTAGGAAGGACATTGATTGGGAGTGGAGGGGAGGGGGTAGTGTCCTGAGAATGACAGCCAGCATGGTGTTATGATCCTGAGTTCTGAATTATAAAACTTGAAAGAATCATCTAATAGTCAGTGCGTGCGCGCGCACACACACACACACACACACACACACACACACACACACACACACTTTACAGATTAGGAAATTGAGGACCAAAGAAGCCAAACAACTTGGCCAAAGACACACAGCTAATTGACAGTTGATCTAGGATTTGAACCCTGGCCTTCTGATTTGGTATTTTCTTGACTGAGAAATAGATGATGCAGGCTCCTTGGAAAGCCTGTGAGATAAGGATCTAATAAACTCATTCTTTCCAAGATATGACTGACTGACAAAACAATCCACTTCAGTCAAGTTCTCCTATGATGCTTTACTGTGGTGGGTATTGATCCTGGATACTCAAAGATCATGTTGGCATACTATAGGCTCTAGCCAGTCCTTCCAAAATGGAAAGGCTTTGAATATGGGCCCACTATAGACTTTATGTCTGTCCTCTGAGTATCAACGTAGCTACATTTGGAAAGGCCCATCATAACATTGGTTCTTGGACCAGATTGAATAAATGTTACAGCCACAGCAAGTTCCAGAGACCATCTACTAAGTCGCAGAGGGAATTCAATTCACACTGACCTCCATAACTGAATCCACATATTTTTGAAGTACTGGGGACATTTGTATTTTAACTTAAAAAAAAAAAGCATTAATCCAAAAGAATGAATTTCTAATAGTGGAATTCTGGGTATCAGTGAGCCATTGAAAAGAAGGAAGGAGAGTATTCTAGGCATGGGTGGCAGCCAGAGAGAATGCCTATAGCTGAGAGATGGAATGACCAGTGTCACTGGATCAAACATGTTAAAAAGTAAGGTGTAAGAAGACTGGAAAGGTAGGATGGAGTTAGGTTATGAAGGGCTTTGAACTCCAAATAGAGGATATTGTATTTACTGCTGGTGGCAATACAGAGCCAATGGAATTGATTAGATGGGGGAGGGGTGATACAATTAGACCTACATTTTAGGAAAATCGCTTTCGTAGTGTAAATGGAGGATGGTGGAGGATGGATGGGAATGGAGAGAGACTTAAGGCAGGCAGATCTACTAATTGACTATTGTAATGGTCCAGGCATGAGCTGATGAGGTCTTGTACTAGAGGGGTGGAAGTGTCAGAGGACCTGGGGGGGAGAGGGGGGAGTGTATTTGAGAGATGTTTCAAAGGTGAAATTGACGGGTATTGGTGACAGATTGGATATGGGGTGAGAGATAGTGAGGAATTCAGAATGACTCTCAAGTCATGGGCCTGAGAGACAAGGAGGGTGGTATTATCCTCTAAGCAACAGAAAGGGGGGGCAGGGAGGATTTAAGGGAAAACATAATGAGTTCTGCTTTGAACATGCCGAATTTGAGATGTCTATTGGACATCCACTTTGAGATGTCTGAAAGACAGTTGGAGATAGGAGACTGGAGGTCAGCAGAGAGTTAAGAGCAAGACAGGCAGATGTGAGAGCCATCAGCACAGAGATGGTAATTAAATACATGGGAGTTGAAGAGATCACCAAGTGCAGTAGTATAGAGGGAGAAGAGAAGAGGGCCCAGGACAGAGCCCTGATGGACATGTATGATTAGAAGGTGGAATCTGGAGGATTCAGCAAAAGAGATAGAAAAAGAGCAGTCAGGCATGTAGCAGGAGAACCAGGAGATGGTGGGGCCTCAAAACCCAGAGAGAAGAGAGTATCAAGTAAAAGAAGGTGATCAACAGTGTCAAGGACTATAGAGAAGTCAAGGAGAATGAGGATTGAGAAAAGCTAGCAGATTTGGCAACTAAAAGATCATTAGTAGCTTTTGAGAGAGGAGTTTCAGTGGAATGATAAAGTTGGAAACCAGATTGTCAGGGATTAAGAAGTAAGAGGAGAGACAGTGGAGACACCTACTGTAGATGGACTTTTTAGGAGTTTAGCTACAAAAGGCAGAAGCAATACAGGATGACAGTAGGGATGGAAGGATCAAGTGACAGGTTTTTTTTTTCAGGATGGGGAAACATAGGCATATTTGTAGGCAGTAGATAATGAGCCAATAAAGAGGGATAGATTGAAAAAGAGTGAAAGAGTGGGGATGACAGAAGAGGCAGTGTATTGGAGGAGACAGGATGGAATATGGTCATCTGAAAAGTAGAGGGGTTAGCCTTGGCTTAAGAAGTAAGGTCATTTCATCGTGTGAGACAGAGGTAAAGAAGGAGATAGTAGCAGAATGTACCTGTGTGATAGGAGATGAAGAGAATGGAAGAAGAAGGAACTTATGGCAAGTGAGCTAATTTTTTTTCTGTAAAATAGGAGGCAAGGTTCTCAGCACAGAGAGTTGGGGAGGTAGAGCCAAGGGAGGCTTAAGGAGGGATGATAAAGTTTGGAAGAGCTACTGTGGAGAATGGGATAGTGAGTTATTAAGGGAGGTAGAGTAGGATTGCCTAGCACAGTGAGGGTCCGCAGTTGAGGCTATGTAATATAAATCTGTAGTGAATCCAGTCAGAGCAGCTGCATTTTCTCTTTCTTCTTCTTTCAGCAGCACATGTGTAAGTGTGAAGGCAATGAATGGTGGGAGTAATCAAAGACTGAGGCTTGACTGGACATAGCAATATGATAATGGTCTAGAGTCAAGAGAGGAGGACAGTGCAGAGGTGAATTGGTTATCCAAGGAGTCAATGTGGGAGAAGAGGAAAGAATGGCTAGTACAGGGGAGGTGGCCTGGGAGACAGTTGAGGGGTCAAGGGCTTCAGCATTCAGGGTGTGAGTGAAGACTAGGGTTATGTGGAGAAAGACAGAGGGAGAAGTGAAAAGCCAATATATTATTATTGGATAGGAGGATTTCACAGTTCTTGAACATGAAGGTGGCTGTGGGGGATGACCAGATCAAGAATATGTTTTGTTTTGGGATTTTTTGTGTGAACCTGAAATGGAATAGAGAAGTAGCTCATGGTGAGGAGAGTGGGGAGGAAGAGTAGGAACTGAGAGGTCAGGGTAAAAAAGGGAGAATCAGTGTGAATGTTGAAGTCCCCTAGTATAAGAGCAGGAGAAAATAGTAATAGCATCAAACTAACAGCAACAAAAACAAAGCCTAGAGTGGGAGCAGACTTATTAATGTTCCCTCTGTCTCTCTGTCCCTCTCTGTGTGTTCTGTGTCTCTCTCCATCTCTGTCTCTCTATCTTTGTCTCTCTCATTGTCTCTGCTTCTCTCTTTTTTTCCTCCCTCTCACAAAAATCACTTGGTATTTAATTTGATATATTTTCTATTTCCTTCTTGATAAGCATGTGGTCCTCACCCCTTGACATTTAAATTAGCAACTGATTCACTTTTATGTCTATCTCCCCATCACCTTGAACAGTGGCTAGCACAATGCTTAATTGTGCTTAATTGAATTGAATGCTTACCCTTTTGAACATTATCTTTTCCTCTGCGTTTTCCCTATTGACACCATTCTCTTCTGTCTGCTTTTTTCTAAGCTGCGTTATGTTGCAGGTCACCTCTCTTCTCTGGTCTAGGAATCTTTCACAGTTTCTGAGCTAAAAGTCATCTCAAAGGTCTACTATAAAAATCCATAATTGTATAGAAGAGGAAACTAAAACCAGACAGGTTAAGCAATTTGTCTAAGGCCACATAGGTAAAACCTAGCAGAAGACCCCAATTTCAAAGCCCACTTTTTTGTTTGTTTGTTTTTGTTTTAGCCCATCTATACTTAGAGTGAGGAGTCTGGATAAGATGACCTTTCAGTTTTTTCTCTAACTCGGAAATTCTATGACTTTAGGTCTAATGAAGATGAGAACTCAAATTTTATTTGCTTCATATAGACTACTATAATAAAATTATCTTAAAACAATATGTAGGGAAATAGCAAAACTTCTTAAGAAGGGTTTCATGTATGTTTAATTCAATTCCATTTGAGAACACTTTCTTGATCACCTCCTCTGTGCTTGTCATAATGGGGTACTCAGAAGCCTGAGGCATGCTCACTACTTTCAAGTGTGTAATCACCTCGGAGAGACAAGACCCATGAAACCAACAACAAATTTTCTGTTCAATAATAGGTACTTTATTAAATGTTTGCTATGTGCCAGGCACTGTTTTAAGCAATTAGGATACAAAGTGTGATAGAATGGGAAGACCTAAAGTCAAAGGACCTGGTCTTAATTCTGGCCCCGGCTCTGGTGTTAATACTCCCTCTTTGATGTTGGTCAAGTTGCTAAATGTGCCTATGCCTTAGTTTTTTCATCTTTAAAATGAGGGACTAGACTAGAAGTACTCTGGCTTGGTGCTAAATCCCAGTAAAGAATACATTAAAATGGCCCTTTTTTCAAAGAGGTTTCAGCAGAACTGGAGAGATGAACATAGGAAGCTGACAAAAACTGTAAAATCACAAAATTTCTGATCTGCAATTAGCAATTATCAAGTCCAACTCATTCCTGGAAGAAAATCTTTCTATAAAGTGACTGACAAAGGGTCATCCAGTCTTTGATTAAAGATATCCAGTATGGTTGAATCCATTCCCTACACAACCACCTTCAGACCACTCAAATTGTTTGGATGTTTTTCTTGATATTAAGCCTCAATTTGCCTCTTTACAATTTCTACCCATTGCCTCTAGGTCTATCAGGGACCAAACAGTACAAGTCTAACCTCTCCTCCTTAAAATAGTAGTAGCTACTTAGTAGTTTGTATAGCACTCATTTTATCTCATTTTATCCTCAGAGCATCCCTGTTATTGTTCCTATTTTACACGTGATGAAACTGAGGCACAGAGAGGTTAAATTACTTGTCCAAAGATCTATAGCAATTAAGTGTCTTAGGCAGCATTTGAACTGAAGTCTTCCTGACTCTAGGACGTGAGTCTAGCACCTCTCTCCAATATGACAACCAGCTGCCTCTAATGACAGCTCATCCTCTATTTGAAAGCAGCAATCATGTCCTCCCTAAGTCTTCTCCAAATTAAAAATTCCTGGTTACTTCAACCCACCAACCAATCAAACAGCTGATCAATACATCAACAAGCATTCCTCAAGCGCCCGCTACGTGCCAAGCATTGCACTGACGTACATTCAACCCCCGTATTGCATGAATGTAGGGATGTTTTGCTTTCTAGGTTACCCTCCTCTGTCCTTCCTAAAATAAAATGAGGTACCTGGTACTGAATGCATCACTCCAGGTGTGGTGTGACCAGGGCAGGATATAATGAGATTATCACCTCCTTATTCCTGAATGCTCTGCCTCTCTCCATGTCACCAAAGAACCCACTGGCTTTCTTGGCTTTCACCTCACAGTGTTGCCTCATTTGGAGCTTGTGGTCCATGAAAACTTTTATGTATTTTTGGTTGAATGATTATCTAGCCATACTTTGTATTTACATTTATCCAAATTAAAATATTAGACTGCCCCCCATCCTAGCTTGTCAAGATCTTTTTGAATCCTGACTTTTTCATCCATTGTGCTAGTGATCCCTCCCAGTTTTGTGCCATCTGCAAAGTTGATAAATGTGCCCTTTATGCCAAGTTATTGATAAAAAATGCTAAATGGCCCAAGGTTGAACACAGATCCCTGGGGTTCTCCATTGGAGATGTTCTTCTAAGTTTACATCAAACCTTAAATGACTGCTTTTTGTCTGACTATTCAGCCTATTCTGAAAGTATCTAATCATACTATCATCTAGTCCAATGCTTCTTAAACTTTTTCCACTTGTGACCCTTTCAGCATTTCTTAACTGTGGATTGTGAGCCTCTAGTCCACATGGGGGCTGTCTCCAGTCATCCTGATCTATATCTTGCCACTGGACCCAGATGGCTCTGGAGGAGAAAGTGAAGCTAGTGACTTTGCACAACCTTCCCTCACTTAAATCCAATTAACTTGCAAGTCATGGAATCACCTTCCTGATGTCATGTCCTCTTTGAGAATGAAAGACAAATAACAACAATCTTTATATATGTTTTCCAAGCATATAATAAGACACTGTGACATACTTTGCTAAAATCTAGTTAAATTCTATCTACAACATCCCTATGATCTACCACTTTAGTAACCTTATAAAAAGAAAGGACATAATACTGATCTGGGATGACCTTTTCTTAACAAAGCCACTCTGGCTCTTTGTGGTCCCTGATTCCTTTTCGAAATGATCACTATCCCTTTAAAAAATTCATTGTGTAATTTTGCCAGAAGTCTAAGTCAAGCTGAAGGGCCCATAGTTGACCAGTTCTATTCTCTATCTTTTGGAAAACTGGGAATATCTTTGCCCCCTTTCCAACTTGCTGTTATCCTATTATGCTTCTTTCTTTCTTCACAAATTAAAATATGAATGGTGCACAGTAAAGATCCAATATTCGTTAAGATTCAAGGAAGAGATTACTTTTAGCTGGGAGATCAGGAAAGACTTTGTGGAGATAGTAGCATTTAATCTGAGTCTTAAAGGAAAGGAAGAATTTCAACAAACAGAAATGTTAGAGGTAGTAGATTCTAGTGTAGATTCCGAGGGGGTGGGGTGGGGTGGGGGTGGGAAGGACAGCATGAACAAAGGATCGGATGTGAGAAATGAAAGAAGAGAATGGGGAAAAAAGTAGTAATCAAATCATGGGATATGGAGTTAGCCCAAAGCTGTCATTTTGCAGAGAAGGAAAAGAGGCTCAGAAAGGAGAGTATTCTTTCCCCAGAATACAAGAGTGATGGGTCTAGAATTTGAACTCAGGCTGCCTGACACTTATTCCACTCTTCTTTCCACTGTTCACTACAGGCACTCAGTTCCCTAAAGATACTGTTTCATGTCTGTTTTTCCTGTGTGTCATCCAGTCAGGAAGACCAGAGGTCAGAGCTCTGAACTAGGCACTGAGGAGGTAGATTTCATGGAGTTTGTACTTTAGGGGTACAGGGGGTATGTGAAAGTGAGGACAAACAAGGAGGTGACGAGAAGGGGAGGGCAAATCTGGAAAGGATGAGTATCATGTAGTTGGCCATAGAGGTAGTGCCTTGAGGTCCAGGATTGTCCCAGATGATGAAGAGATGACAGAGAATGGAACTCTCAATCTACCGTCTTCCCAAACAGACATTCCTAAAGCCATTGCATAGACAAGCATCTGTTTCTTCCTCCACTTTAGGTAAGATGTGGTACTAAAATGCATATTTTTCTAACAACAGTCACTCTTCCTAATGCACTAATCAGTGAGGAATAAGTGCATGACTTCTTCTGGATCTTCTTGTTCACCTGGGGGCATATTTTCTTTAGAGTATCCTAGGGAGCTAAATTAAAAATAACAAAAGGAACACTCAATTTGGAGCCAGAAGAACTGGATTCAAATCCTACTCTATCATTTAATATTTGAACAAGTAAACCTCATCCCTCTTGGGTACCTTAGTTTCTTCATCTGTAAAATGAAAAGATTGACTAGATGACCATTGACTCTCAGCATTAAGTCTGTGATCCTCTGATTCTATGAATGTTCATATTTACATAGTATTTATATCGTCTAGGGCACTGCTATAAGCATTCACGGCTAATAGAACAAAGGACCTGAAGTTACGAAGTCAGATTCTGCCTTAGACAATTTCTAGCTATGTGATCTGTGCAAGTCACATAACCTCTATCAGCCTCAGTTTCCTCAACTATAAAATGGACTTACCTCCCAGTCCAGGATTACTGTGAGGATAAAATAATATTTGTAAAATGCTTTTCAAATCTCAGCATACCACATAAATACTATTATTATTAATTCTTATTACTGTAGCTTTATGAATACAAATCAATCCATTTCATATGCATTTATTAAGCTCCTACTATGTGCCATGAACTATATTCAGTGCTGGGAATATAAAGACAAAGGAAGTAGAATGATTATCTAGAATGCCCAGGGCTCTGTTCTGATTATTTTTGTTAATGTTTCTTTTAATCAGGGAATTCTTGGATCAGGGCTGGCTCTCAAGGTACAAGAACAACATCGACAGAAACATTTTGAGAAAAGAAGGAAACCAGCAGCTGAACTCATACAGGTTTGTTTTCTCTGGTTTTCTAATTATAAAGATATGAGCTGAATTTTTAAATGACACCATGCTATCCAGGGATATTTTCTTTGTATGTGTGGGTGTGTGTGCATATATATGCTCATGCATATAACTGTGCCAGTGGTTGATGGCTGACTCCCAGGGTTCCATGACCCCTGTCACAAGCACATCCAAGAGAACAGAGAATAACTTGGAACACATCATCAGAAATTCAGTTGTTCTAGACAATGTGACACAGAATGTTTAAATCATCTTGTTCTTCGATAGTCTCTGAACCTAAGACCTCAGACAGCTGCTGCTTCATGCAATATACAAGGCTTTTGCCAGAATGTTCAACATAAGAGAGCACAGCATGATTCTAGAGGGGAAAGCTATTCAGGGAAGCAGCTTTACTGCTCTTCCACAAACAGTTTTCACAGGACTCTCTGGTTTTCCTTATTTTCAAAAGAAGTAACTCTATGAACACAGTTTCAGTACCACTTTGGGGAACAGTGACGCAGAGGCCTGGACTTACTCTGCTTTTCTAGTCCCCTGGCCAACAAAATAGAAGAGAAGCTGGTGTCCTCTTTAGGACTTTTGGCAGCAGCTGCTGCTTTCTTACCTTAAAGTTCATTACGTTCTTCTCTAATTGTGGCGAAAGGGACTATACGCATCCATGTATATATGAAGTAGATAGATAGATAGATAGATAGATAGATAGATAGATAGATAGATAGATAGATAGATAGAGGGTGGGTGGATGGATGAGTGGATAGATAGATGATAGATGGATAGGTAGGTAGATAGATAGTATATGGATAGATAGATGATAGATAAGTAGATGGATGGATGGATAGATAGATGATGGATGGATAGATAAATGATAGATAGATGGTAGATGGTTGGGGGATAGATAGATAATAGATAAGTGAATGGATAGATGGATGGATGGATAGATAGATAACATTTACCAAATGCTTACTATGTGCCAGGCCCTGTGCCATGTGCTGGAAATACAAAAACAAGAAAACAAAACAGTCCCTACTTTCCAAGAGCTAATAACTGAAGAGGTCTGGGAAGAAAGGATATGGGAAAGAAAAGAAGAAAGGGAAGTTGGAAGGGAAGGAGGATGTCAGCATGAGGGCAAGGAAGCAAGAGTGACATTAGAATAGATCAGAGGGTGAACTGGAAGTAAAATGAGTAGTTCCTGAAGACAGATGCTCCCTGTGGCAAACAGAATAGACTTAAGGCTAGAAGAGTCTGTCCACAACTGGCACTCTGACATTTAGAAATGAAAAGTACAAATTAAGTTAATTATGTAGTCCATCTACCATAGCTCATCCCCCAACTTAATTCCTTTGACCTGGGCTTAATCTCATGTTATATGAAAAGTCTACTTTAGTATTAAGGAAATGTTTTCCAAATATAATAAAAACCATTTCCTCATGAGTAGAATTCTCATCTTCTTCCCATATTAAATTCAACTGAGCCTGTGAAGTGTTGGGAAATGTTGCAGACATATCAAAGTTTTTAACATCCCAAGTGCCTTTGAACAAAGAATGTGGCTTTCATATAACTCCAATGTGACAAGAAAAGAGTTTCTTACATTTCCACCAGGGGGTGCTCCTTCCTTTGAAAGTAATTATGGGGCTGGGGAGAAGGGCATAAAATCTTTGGAAAGCATTTCTGTTACAGTTTGGGTCAGCAAAAAGCAGAAAGTTGAATTTGATTATATTTAATCTTCCAATAACCAAGTTAAATCATCACCTCACTTCTCCCCCTCTCTTTGAGTTTACTTTAAGACTCTAACCATCACTAGACTGGGTTAAGCTTTTTTGGTTGTTATTTAAGAATCACAATCTATTAAGCAATCAATTAAGAAGCATTTGTTATTGAACTTTCAACAAGCACAGAATGTTTAAACCAGAGGCGATCTCAGTGGTCATATAGTCTAACTCTGTCGTGTACAGATGGGGAAACTGAGGCCCTGAGAGGTGAAGGACTTGACTAAGGTCATATGACTAGTTAAGTAGCAAGTGGAGTGACATATTAAGCATAGTGGATTGTGAGTTGGAGTTAGGAATACCTGGCTTCACATCCTATCTATGATGCTAGCTCTGGAACCATGGGAAAGACATTTCATTGTTTATTGTCCCCAAGGCAGAAATGTCAAACGTGGAAGGCCACAGGCCCTCCCCCCCCCAACCCAGCTGAACTAGATTAAAATGTAACTTGGAAATATTTAACAAAATAAACAAACATACGATAAAACAGATAATATTAATGTGTGGTTTTCTACATAAATATGCGATCCATAGGAATCCTTATGTGTGATTTAGCAGCCCTTATTTTAACTTGCGTTTAACCCCACTGGTTTCAGGCTATATATAATCTCTATGAATTGTCATTCTGCAGTGGTTAAAAAAAAAAGTTTCCACATTAAGATTTCCCCACACTGATGAAAAAAACATGGGATTATACTTTTAGAATTGGAATGGACTTTAGAGTTTATTGCATCCAAACCATTTACAAATTTACAAATAAGGAAACTGAGGCACAAAAGGTTGTGGGTTGTCTAAGGTTATGCAGGTTGTAGGGTTTAAAACTAGTTTCTATGACTCCAACTTTGGTATTCTTTCTGCTTCACAAAGTTGAGAAGCCATGCCATATAAACATTAGGGAAAGAAACTACAGATGATGTTAAGTCCGGAGAAGAGGAAATTAGAGGAGACGTGAGAACCTACATTCAAATCTTTAAAGGGATGCTAGGTGTCACACTGGATAGATTACTGGTCTTGGAATCAGGAAGACTCATCTTCTAGAGTTCAAATCTGGCCTCAGACACTTACTAGCTGTGTGAGCCTGGGCAAGTCACTTAACCCTGTTTACCTTAGTTTCTCATCTAGAAAATGAGCTGGAGAAGGAAATAACAAATCATTCCAGTATCTTTGCCAAGAAACCCCAAATGGGGTCACAAAGAGTCAGATAAAACCGAAAGCCTGAATAACAACAATAAAACAACACAGGGGAAGAAACATTAAGCTTGTTCTGCTTTGTACTAGAAAGCAGACCCAGGAATCATGGGTAAAAGTTTCAATTATGTTTCAGCTTATTATAAAAAATCAATTCAACTAGCATTTGTTAAGTATTTGTGATGTGGCAGGTCATGGGCCAAGTGCTGGAATTGCAAAGAAAGGGAATAGTATGGCCCTTGCCCTCCTTGATGGAGCTGAGGTCAAGATGATTGAGATAGCCAGAGTGGGAAAGTCAGAACTGGAAGGAGTTAGACATAGTTGGAGCAAGGGAGGTGTCATCAAACCTGCTGAGACACAGCCAAGAGTGGTGAGGCATCTTCAGAATGAATGAGAAAGGTTGGATGGGAGGAACAGGGTTATGTTTGTCCTCCTTGAGGGCATCACATTCTGATGGAGGAGATAGCACGCAAACAACTATGTACACTCAAGACACATACAGGGTAAATGGAAAACTCACTAAAAGTTCAGGTTGTCCAAGAGTGGAATGGCCTGCCTCTGAAGGGAGTTACTTCTTTCTCGTTAGATACCTTTAAGTGCAAGCTAGATGGTCACTTGTGGGAAGGGAGAAGAGAAGGGAATAAACATCTCTACAGTGCCTACTACATACCAGACGCTGTGTTAAGCTCTTTACAAATATGAATTCATTCAATCCTCCCTTCAGAAGCTCATTGTTGCTCTCCCTCCTTCTCCCTATTCTCTTTCCCAGGCTGCCTGGAGGTATTATGCGACGAATCCCAACAGGATTGATCTCGTAGCTACCTGGAGATTTTATGAATCCGTCGTTTCTTTTCCATATTTCAGGCAAGTGGCATTTATTTATCCCTTGAATTTACAGTGTGTGACACCTCTTTCTGATGCTTATGGATTTTGTTTGGATTCATGATTTAACCAACTTCCTTTTGGCATTTCATTAAGCATGTATTGATCTCTGAATGGCTGAGAAGGTTAGAAAAAGGTTTAAATGTACCTGAGTGGCACCAGCTCAAGGTGGGGAAAAGTGAGAATTGCCATTGCCTAACAACAACATTTATATGGTGCTTTAAGTTTTGCAAAGTGCTTTTAAATACTATGTCATTTTGTTATCAAAATAAGGGATTTTTGAGGTAGATTATACCTGTTTTTTTTGTTTGTTTTGTTTTTAAGGCAATTGGGGTTAAGTGATTTGCCCAGGATCACAAGCTAGTAAGTGTCAAGTGTTCAGTCTGAGGCCGGATTTGAACTCAGGTCCTCCTGACTTCAGGGCCAGTGCTCTATCCACTGTGCCACCTAGCTGCCCTGATTATACCTGTTTTTTACAGATGAAGAAACTAAGGCAAATAGAGCTTGACTTGACTGCCTGGGACGTGTATCACCTGCCCTGACTCTACTTCACCCTTCCTGATTGTGTTTTGCCAACCATAATAACCCTGTTCCTCCCATCCAGCCTTTTTCATTCATTCTGAAGATACCTCACCACTCTTGGCCATGTCTCACCAGGTTTGATGACACCTCCCCTGCTCCAACTATATCTAACCCATCCTAACTATGACTTTTCCACCCTGGCTATATCTCAACCATCTTGACCTCAGCTCCATCAAATTTGATCCTGCCCTCCTTGCTCCCCATGATTTTGGCCTCTGGGCTAAATTAGGAATAGGAAAAAAAAGATGGAGGAGGAGAGAAAGGGAAAGATAATAAAATTAGTTATAAGTGGAGTCCCACAGAAGTACAGGAGTTGAGTTAAAGCCACCATTTATAGATATGAAGGGAAACCCACTTCCTTACTTTGCCCAGGATGGAACATGGCTGGAGAGTCCTTTCATTTCCTTTGTCAGAAAGCATTGTCCTAAATTTGTATTTGAATTTTTAACTAATCAGAATCCTAGAGTTGGAATGGACTTTAAAGGTCAGAAAATCATAGAGTTACATCTACTCTAGCCCTTGCAAATGCAGCACAGAGTGAGCCCGAAAGTCCAATTTCTGTCCTCTATAAAGGAAGGTGTTGGAAGGTGTTTCATACTCTACTTTCCAGCCCTCCCATCAAACAAATAAGTCAAGCAGGCCCTGGTTTGTAGCATTTGCCAATTTCCAAAAATGTAAATATCCACATTGAAAATTTAACAATTGTCTCTCCCGCCAACTCCAGTGGCTCCATGGCTGACTCATGTTCTTTTCTGGTCATGCAATTCTTTGATGATATTTTTTGCACCACTTTTGGTGTGCAACTTCACACCTACCATGCACATATCCATTGCTTGCTGCGCTATGGGTGACTAATTCTTTTTAGACTGCGGTATTTTGCTTCACAGCCATATATTGTAGCATCTCTAGAAACTGTGAAAAAAAAAAGTGGTAAAAAAAATTTACATGCGGCCTTTGTTTCAGAGAGAAGTTTGTGGTTATTGAAAGTGCCTCACAGTTTTTGAAATGCAATCCAGGCTAATTTCTTCCTCCTTATTATTTGCCAGGCCTAGTTCATTGCCCATTCTTGGCATCTGTCCAAGATAAATGTGCTGATGAACCTGTTCCAATGTAAGAGAGGTGCTATATAGAGAATATGGTCCTCCAGAGATTCTTGTTTGTGGGTAGCATTGCCCTAATTGTAGTAATACCTGAAACTTTGCAGAGCCTCCTAAATAAAATCCACAATCACTTTAAAGATTTTTGGCCTCACAATTCACACAGGAAAATAGAAGTGAATGAAGAAGCCCTGTGGTCCAGACTATGATTTCCAGTTAGATGGGAAGCCCAAAGAACTGGCATGTTGATCCTGACAGGTATTAAATAACAATTTTAATAGTCAAATATGATTTCAATTGTTTCATAAATGATATCAATGATAACTGTTCAAGAATATCTTGTTAAGTAGTGAGTTTCCTGCAGGGATGTGCCGGAGTCATCTCTAACCAGCTTGTGAGAGCTGTCAATTAAATTTTCAGTGTGAGCATTCATTCCTCGAAGTTAACAATAACTACAAATCAAGGTTTGATTTATTGATTTGTTGATTTTCAAGGCTTAGGAAGCATTGATAATGCAGATTAAACTTTAAAATGTATGTACATACTCTCCCCCCCCCAAGATATCCTGGTTGTTAAACATTCACTAGCACAGGCTTGCATTGCTCTATAACCATTGCTTGAGCTCAGCAGGAGTGCAGAAGGTTCAGGGAATTAAGTCATCACCAGAGTGCAGGCTTGGTGATACAGACAAATAACAGCAACAATAGTAATACCATTCATATAGAGTTTTAAGGTTTGCAAAGTGCTTTACATCTATTACCTCATTTGGGGCTTACAACAGCTCTGGTTCCCTGTCATAGAAAGTATTTGAATAGATCCTCAATGATCATTTCTTACCAATGACATACTTCAAGTTGAGATTTGAGTAGATGACTTCTACAAACTCTTCAACCTCTCATATTCTCTCATTTAGAATCCTTGGACTAGAATTCTCTGCTTTTGTTATAGGTTTCATTAAAACCTAAGTGTTTCCAATCCACCTTACATTGTTGGTTTTTGAAGGAATATGTCTTTAAAGCCACTTCCATTACACCAATTTCCTGCTCAAGAGACTACAATGCTTTTTATCTTTTTCAAATCAAAAGTCTTCTTTCTAGCATACAGTCAGGTGTATTGAAGCACCTCTAAAATAAGAGAGTTGTATAGATATGGCCTTGTATCTCTTTCATTCCTATCACTCTATGGTCTATTGTCATCAGTCTCAATACCAGAGAGTCAAGTTAACTGGCTTCAATTTTGCCTCAGAAAGTGTGTGCCTTTCTGCCTTCCTGTCTTTTTATGTTACATTCATAATCACAAAATCTCAGAGTTAGAAGAACCAATAGAATAAAAACAGAATCAGATGATAAGAACATGATAAATTCCATGTATACTGATGTCCTGGCAAAGGGCACACTATGTGTTTCTGTATCTCTGTTCATGAATGTGTCTATGTATGTGTATGTGTATGTATGTGTGTATGGCTGTTTGAGAATGTGTATGTATGTGTTCAATTGAAACTATCTTCCTAACAGTCAGAGGTAATACATCATGCTAGAGATGGCTATTGTGAGACTAGGAACATCTTTGAAGTCAATGTAGAGTATGTTTTTTAAAGGAGAAAAAAATGGTCCCTAGCGTTTTTCGCTTGGCAGTTATATTATAGCAAGAAAGCCCATTGGGGAAAGGGTGTCACTGAATTCCAGCATGCCATTGTTATTTTCAAGTAAGAGGCTGAAAACAACATCCAATGTGTCCTTGTATTTATGAAGAGCCTCTGAAGGGCACCAGCTTGAACCTCTTCCCTGGAAGTGGCCCCTTTTCCCAACTAATTGGAGTCAATTGCCAACTTGAAAGTAGACATATCTGTGGGGCCATTGGTACTCTACATGTATTTCATTGGCATTTTTTGTTACTTAGGCTTTCAGAAGATTAAGGTAAACAGGAGTAGAGATTGATATGTTCAGAACTAGGATGGACCTTAAAGCCCAGAATATCGGAACATAGAATATAGGATGAGGATGCTATAGCTGGAAGGCATCTAACATAGACCGTTAAGACATAGGTTATAGAATGTTAGAGCTAGAAAAGACCTCCAAACATAGATGTTAGTGCTGGGAGGGGTCTTAGAGTATAAAGTGTAGAATGTCAAAACTGGAAGAGACCTTAGAGAATTTTAGAACTTTGAATACAGAATTTTATGGAGAGAATGGATCTCAGGAGAGAATGATCAATAGAATGTTACAGCTAGGATGCCTTAGGATGGAAAATGACTGGATGAGACCATAGAACATAGAATTCTAGGGTGAGAGTAGGGGAGGAGGGGAGCAGAGATGTGCTATTTGCAGGAATGTGTGATTTGTTTCTTGCTGGACTGGAACTGTTCCCTGAATTCTGGCTAATCTAGTAATCCCAAAAAGCACGTAGCATAACGTGTGGTGTATGGTAAGTGCTTAATACACGTTTTTAATATATTTTATTTGTTTTGTCAAATATTTCCCAATTACATTTTAAAACATTTTAGCATTTTTTTTAATTTTGTGTTCCAATTTCCCTATCTCCCTCCCACCCTTTGAGAAGACAATATAGTATCAACTATACTTGTGAAGTCATGCAAAAATATTGCTAAAGAAAACACACAACACACACACACACACAAACAAGAAAAATAAAGAAAGTAAAGAAAGCGTGTTTCAGTCTGCGCTCAGAGTTGATCAATTCTTCTCTGGAGATGGGTGGCACTTTTCATAGTGAGTTCTTTGGTATTATCTTAGATCCTTGTCTTGATCAGAACAGCTATGCCCTTCCCAGCTGATCATCATTATAATATTGCTGTAAGGTGTACAATGTTCTCCTGGTTCTGCTCCCTTCACTTTTCACCAGTTCATATAAGACTTCCCAGGTTTTTCTGAAATCATCCGTCATCATTTCTTACAGAACAATGGTACTACATCACAATCATAGGCTACAACTTGTTCAGCCATTCCCCAGTTGATGGGTATCCCTTCCATTTCCAATTCTTTGCCACCATGAAAAGAGCTGCTATAAATATTTTTGTACAAATAGGTCCTTTTCCCTTTTCTTTGGTCTCTTTGGGATATGGACCTAGCAGTGGAATTGCTGGGTCGAAGGGTATGCACAGTTTCATAGCCCTTTGGGTGGAGGTCAATAAATGTTCCTTGACTGTTTGGCAAAGGGCAAAGACTTGGCCCAGATTTATCTTGGATTACAATACAGAGAAAAGAACAGTTAAGGACAGACTGAGGGATGTGACCAAGCAGAGAATGCAAAAATTTACCCCAAGTCAAGGGCTTATTTCTACAG